AATTTCTATAGCAACCAGCTCTTATTCCAAATGGGTATGGAATTAAAACATGTCCACAGTTTTCTTCACAACCATTCTCTTGCGATGTTGCTGCTTGAATAAGCCACAGTAGCAGGATGAAATAAACGCCCATTTTCTCTTAATTTCTCCCACCCTCGATTGTTAATTTCTTTCTATCAGGGAAATTGATGAAGATTTTGCTGGCTGCTTAAGTCAAGTAGATAAAGCCCGGCGTATATTCAAAGGTTTAAAGAAATTCTTTTGCGTTTGCGGCCCAGTTTTCTACATTTGACCAAAGCTTAACCATACCTTCGGTTCGCAGAATGTAATATAGGAAAAATGGACTTTATATTTTGGGAGAATATAAGATAAGAGGAATGGAATATGTATTATTAGTTTGATTGATTAGAATGTATTATTAATATTAATATTTTTGGTTAATTCAAAGAATATGAAAGGAATAAGTTCAAAAATTATTTTATATTTATAATTTATTATAATATTATAAATTAATAAAATGAATAAAAATTCATAATAATTTAATATAAAAATAAACATTAATTTTGTTTCAACCATTTTATTTTTATAATTTATTATAATATTATAAATTAAATATTAATTTCGTTTAAGTCTTTCCCCCTATATTAATCTATCTCCCACTATTAAAGTTGAAAAGAGTTTTGTTTCGAAAAATGAAATGGATACCTTTTTTTTTTTTTTTAATGGATAGTTTTTTTAAAGAACTAAATAGATTAATGCCTCCTTAATTTTAAATATTTTATGATAATTTTATTTGATATTTTGGTCAATTTATTTTACTGGATTGACATTACTTGATTTGTTACATCATTTTTTTTTAATTACAAAGAAAAAAATAAAATTATAATATTTTTAACCCACCCCTTAAAAAACTCTATTCCCTGCATCAACCAGAAAATCGCTAATCAACCCAAAAAACACTAAGACCTCAAATGGAAAGAAATTATAAATTTTTTAGCATGAAAAAGTATGAAGGTAAGAAGAGTTACAGATACTAAAATTAAATTTAAATGTTATTTTTTAAAAAATAATTATATCAATCAACTGAATTAATTTTGAATTCAGTTATCATAAAATTTTAAATATCTATATTCATATTATCATATCGGAAGTTTGCCAAAACATCAGTGCATCATATCAAAAGGTTTTAATGCCATTTTTTCCCTAAACTTGGTTAGTGCTTTGGTGGGGGTCAAGTATAGGAAATTGGGGCGCCAGAGCTAAGAAATTTCTTTGAATTTTTGAGTTTACTCTCAGCCTATTACATGCACCCAGCTAAATTTTCATTGCTTCCCTGATAGAAAGAAATTAACATCAAAGGTGGGTGAAATTAAGAGAAAAATGGGCGTTTACTTGGTGTTTTACATCAGCCTGCTACATTGGCTTGTTCAACCAGCAACATCGCAAGGAGCAGACGGGTCTGGTTGTCATTTTCTTTTTCTTTTCAAATGCAATATCCTTAAGTAATTGAAGCTCTTAAAATTGGTCAATGCATTTGCTTAATTTTTCATACATTTTGGTTTCCCCCCAACTTAGACGTAACAAAGTCTTTGTTACTTCTTTTTTTTTTTTTTCAGTGATAAACAAATTCAATGTTTGCTTTTTCTCTAGAAGTTGCTGTGGAAACTTACTTTGCACGAATTTTGCTTATCTAAACTCACTTTACATGAATTTTCAACGTGCTTTCGTTGATTTTTTTAACTTCTTTAATTAGTTTTAATAAAGTTTTAATTGCAAAACAACTTGTAATATAATTAGAATGAAAAAAAAAAAGAATAGATTAGATGAGTTTGTTGTTGTTTATATACAAAAAAAATAAAAATAAAAAAACAAAATTCAAGCTTAAACATTTTATTTTCAAGTAATGGGAGTAAATTGCATCATTGGTATGTGGTCATTTCTCAAGTTACATTTTATTAGTATTTAATTTTTTAGTTTTTAATATTTTGAATTTACTTCAAATTCATTCATATTTAATCAATTTTCACACATATTTTCCTAATCTTCAATTTATACACTTTTTTCTTTCCTTCTCAAATAACATTACTAATTTACCATGAGTAAATTGCATATTAGTCTTCAATTTAATATTTTCTTAATGTTTTATTTTTATTTGCAGTATAAAAAAGCTCAATATTTTCATTTCTGATGTTTTCAATTTGTTTCAAATCTATCAATCCGTCAATACCATACTAAAATATGAACAAAATTTATCACAATACTTCAAACAAAATAAACGCAAAAGTTTCATCCATATATTCTAACAAATTATCATAATAAATACCGGTTCAACAGGTTTATTATATGTTGAGATTGGTAAATTTATGATAATTTATATTTTATAATCTTTCAACAAATTCAAACAATTAAGAAAAGAACAAACTATCTTATCATTGAAACCAATGTCAGTTCATAATCTCTTTTGCAATTTAACTTGCTACTTAAGCTAGCTATATATAGAATCAGACACATGTGAGACTCGTTGCAATATTAGCAGTATCTTTGCCTGTTTGAGCCTTGTGTCATCATGCACTTTTATCTCCACGGATTGTTCTAGTATTACACCTCTTTTTTTTTTTTTTAATTTCCTTTTACCAAACACATAGTAAATTAAGGGCAATAACATATAGCAACATTAACTTGTAACTGTTCAAGATTGGTGGGCTGAAAGTTTTATCACAAGCATGCAAATTACATATTTTATCCACTATTAAAAATTGAAAAGCATGTGCTAAAGTTTCCATCTTTATTAGTTTTATATGTTTCTCTTAATATGAACATGGTTAGTGCCTTTAGTGGTGTGAAATTACAAAATGAGAGCACAACACCTAAGAAATTTCTTTGTAAAGCACTGATTTGGAGATTAAAAAATTGTTGTAAATATTGAAATTTAAATCTTTACTTATTAAATGTCACTTTTTATGAATAATTACATAATCTAATCGAGCTAAAACTTGAATTCTCTCTATATATTTGATAATTGAATTTGTGAGGATTCAATCATAATTATTGAAATTACAGGAGTTTAGTGGTCTATCAATTTACTTTCTATTTATTCATCCACAAGCTAAATCTTCATTTCCTGCAGCAGGGAAAGAAATTAACAATCGAAGGAGTTAAAAAATCAAGACAGATCATGGGTGTTCACTTGGTGTTTCACTTCATCCTGCTGCCATGGCTAATACAAGCAGCAGCATCCCAAGAGACAGACAAGTACACTTGTACAGAAGTATGTGGGAATGTTACAATTACATCCCCATTTGGAATAAAAGACCGCTGCTATACAAACTCGTGGTTTAATGTAACTTGCAACAAAACAGCTGATGGACCGAAGCCTTTCATCAGTCGGATCAATCTGGAGCTGCTCAGTTCGTTCTCGCCAGGCAGCGAGGTAGTCGTCAATAATCCAGTAACTTACGTAAATTGTGGCTATGATTAAGCTATATGTATTTCTAACTTTAATTATTTTATTCATTTCATAAATGACAGAAACAGCCAAATGTGGGAATCGTATATATAAGAAATGTCATATGCTTTGTCTGAATACTCCTTGCAACTATTGTTCTTCGCAATGCCCTGATAAATATAAATACTTAAGTGTTGACAATAGATGCGAGCCCATAGCGATTGATTCACCAACGTTGTCAGCCAAAAAAGAACCAGACTTGGCAATCATTATAGATGCGTGTCAAATTTGCTTTTTTATTTTTTTAATACACCAGAACCAAACATCGGACAACTCGATTGAAGGGTTCTTACTGCATTGGAAGATTCGTTTTATAATTTAGTCCAATTATAAAAATGTACCCTCTCTCGGTGCGATGGCAACCTTCCTATTAGACTCCAAAATTAATGAAACTTTATATCTATAATTCAAAATTTCTCCCCACTCTTATCGCTTGTATTCAAATTTACCTTTTACATTAATAAAATTTGTACCCTATAGGCTGCAGCACAAGTATTGGAACAATATTTTTGCTGCTTGGTACATGGGGTATGTACAAAGTAACTGAAAAGAAGAAAGGCATCAAACTTAAAGCAAAGACACTTTAAAACGAATGGAGGTTTACTACTGCAACACAATTGTCCAGCAATGAAGGTAATGTAGAAAAAATAGGTTGTTTACTTCGAAGGAGTTAGAAAGGCAACATGATTACTATAACTACAAATCGAATCCTCTGTCAAGGAGGCCAAGGAACTGTTTTATAAAGGGAATGTTAGCTGATGGAAGCATTGTGGCAATCGACTAAATGATGGAAGAAAAGTTAATGAAAAGAAGCTCGAACAGTTCATCAATGAGGTAATAATTTCATCACAGATCAACCATAGAATTTGGTTAAGCTTTTAGGATGTTGCCTGGAGACAAAAGTCCTTGCTATAATGAGTTCATCCCCAATGGAGCACTGTCTCAATTCAAACATGATCAAAATGAAGATTCCCAATGACATGGGAAATGCGTTTACGAATTGCTATAGAAATTGCCAATGCATTATCCTATTTGCATTCGGCTGCTTCTGTCCCCATTTATCATCGAGACATCAAATCCAGCAACATACTTTCGGATGATAAATACAGAGCCAAAGTGTCGGATTTCCGAACATCAAGATCAATTTCACTTGAACAAACTCATCGTACCACTCGAGTGTAAGGAACTTTCGGATACTTGGATCTGAGTATTTTCGATCACGTCAATTTACAGAGAAGAGTGATGTTTAAGTTTTGGGGTTGTTCTTGTTGAAATTTTGACGGTACAAAAACCCATCACCTCGAGACAATCAGAGGAAGTGAGAAGCTTGGTACCATTTTTTCTGCTCTTAATGAAGGAGAATTCATTATTTGACTTTTTTGATCCAATCATAATGAATGACGGTCCAGAAGAAGAGATTGTAGCAGTTTCAAAGCTGGCAAAAGATGCTTGAATCTTAATGGAAAGAAAAGGCCTACAATGAAACAAGGTTGCAATGGAGCTGGAGTTGATTATGTCGTCAGAAGAAGCTAATGCGATTGAACCAAGTGGCGATGAAGAATCATATACAGATGACAGAATCGATCCTTGGGCTATTGGCTACTTGTTCAACCATGTCAATTATAAACAATTTGGTAGTTTAACATTGTAAGTTACGTTCTTTTCTTTGGTGTGTACTCGATTGTGATATACTTCTTGATTAAGTTTCATATTTTAATCCTTCTTCTAAATTCAATTATTTTTTGTCTCTTTTTTTCTTCATGCTTGTTTTTTATTGAACGATTTCTTTTCATGTTTTTCGAATACATTTTGCAAGAAAAAAATTTAATAAAAGTAAGGATGACAAAACAATCCATTCTTCATAGATTTTGATTGCCCTATACTAATGTCTGTAGTTTTGAAAAGTTCTAGATAAATTCAAGGTTTTTTTTTTTTTTTAATCGAAGTTGGATCAAAGTCAATTTAGAATGTTTTGTCTTGTATCAGATATATATAAATTTATATTTTAAAATATTTACATAAATGAGTTTCGATTATTTCAGATCTGATGGATATGATTTTTGTTTGGGATCTAATCGAAGATTTTTCCCGAAAATAAAACTCGAGTTAGATGCTGGTTTATAATGTTCTGTCTTATTTTTAATATATATTAAATTATATTTTTAATTAATTAATTTTTTTATATTTATATTTATATGTATTTATTATATTAATCAAATTATTATTTAATATCTAAGTTGATAACAATATTTTTTGTTTAAGTACTTAGTAGAAATTCTTTTATTTAGATACCACATTAGAAAGTGTAATAATTTAGGGGCAAATGAAGTATTATTTCTATTATATACATATAGAGAAAATTGGTCAATGACAATTTTCTTCGTTTTTCTAATTCGTGTTTTTTTTTTCTACACATAAGATGTGAACATGAGACCCTTAAATGTATATTATCGAATATTATTTAAATATGAGTTTACGGATCACCACCAATCAAATAATTAAATGTGAAACCATATATCTCTCATTTACAAATCCAATTCTGAATACAAATTCTCACATTAGGCATAAAACAACACAAATAAAAACCACAAGCTATATGTAAAAACCATCCAACAATAGCAACAACAACAATAATAATATAATCAATCCAAACCGATCAATTAAACAAAATATAAATCAATAGATATTGCTGCAAGGAACAAGAAAAAAATCAAAATTTAATTTAATTAATTCATGTAATTATGTCAAGAGTTAATATTCAACATATTTAAAATTTGAATCTTAATACTTACAAATTTTTTTATTCTCGAGCTACTATCTATGTAAAAAAAATTATGAAAAAAATAAAAAACACAAAATATACGGAAAAATAATCCAATATATAAAAAAAGCGATAAAACCAACAACAAATCCACTGTCAACAATCCATGATACAATGTTCATGTTTTTAAATTTTCTCTAATTTAATGATTACGTAAAAGAGATAATTGATTTATGACAATTTCTTTTTGAGTTGAAATTGAGACTTTTCTTTGTCTTTGTCTTTTTTGTTTTTGACACATAAACCATGAACTCGTGACTTTTCTTTTAACATTCGGGTCATTTTGGGTTTAATTTGAATTTTTGTATTACATAAAATTTACAAAAAATCACTAAAAACAAGTTAATTAAAAGCCATTTATTAATTTAGAATTATTTTATATAAGAAATTTAAAATTTTCTCCCAAAAATATTATTTATAATTTTTTATTGATTGATAATTGCTTTTTATTTTCATTTCATTGATTATTAGCAATTCACCATAATTATGGTTAAGATTGGCAAGGTCAACCATAACTTTGAAAGGATAAGTGGTTTGGTACTCACTTTGGGCTCATGCTCCATTATATAGAGCTGCCCACTCGTTCATTCCAAGTCTTTTTTTTTTCGTCTTTTTTTGAACAATTACTCGTTGTACGTTTCGGAGAATTGCTCTTTCTTCTTCTCTTTTTTGAATTTCCAAATGATGATGTCGGCCATGATATTAACGTTTAACAGTAATGAATCTTAACGTTTAACTTTGAGGAATTGCAATAATATTTTACGATAATAATTTTTTTACTTTTAAAATATATTAAATTTTTTAATAATAAAATTTTTTTTAATGTAAATATAAAAACAAAATTTATAATTATAAATATGTTAATATATAAAAAATGTCTTCCACTTCTTAATCAAGTAATTAAAAAGACTTTAAAAAAATGTAAAGTGAGAATTTGAATCTCATCATTGTATCAAAAAGATATATATATATATATATATATATATAAATCGTTAGCAACATTTTTATAAAAAAATATTATATCTTTTACATTATTAATTTATTATCTTATCATATTTAATATTTTAAATATTAAAATAAAAAATCATAAAAATTTATATTTTTTGAATAAAAGATAGATTTTAAAACAATAGAGTAAAGATTTTAATAGAATAAATTGAAACCTTATAATTTTTTAAATGGTACCTTTAAATTATGAAAAGGTGCTTAAGTTATAGTCATATTAATTATTTTGGTATGTAACAATTTTCAAAGAAAATAAGCAAGCTTAACTATTAAAGTTAAAAAGGTTAGAAAAACATTGTTAAATAAAAAATAGATTTTAGAGCAATAGAGTAGAAACTTTGATACGAGTAAATAAAATCATCTAATTTTTTACATGATAATTTTAAAATTATGAAAAATGAAAAGATACTTAAACTAATCATTTTAATTATTTTGGCTCTTAACAATTTTCACAAAAAAAAAATAAGCATGCAATATATAGTAAAAAGAACTTTGATTTAAAAAAAAAAAAAGAGAAAAGGATGTCAATTGAATATTTGTTAATTTGTTTTAATAATTATAATACTCATATATATGTTAAATTTACATCCACATCTTTGTGAAAATATAATAATAATTAACTTATCATTTTAAATTAAAAATTATTTATAATAAGTAAATTTAAATTAAAGAATGATATATTTTAACACAATAAATTTAAGTTTGAAAGAGCCTAACTAATTTATCTGTCAAGAAATCTCAAAATTATTGAAAAATAATGTCTAAAAAAGTTTTCAAATTTTGGGAGAGCGCAGGACCCATTAGACTCTAAGGAAAAGACACCTAGATTTTTAATTTTATTGAACAACTTAAAATATCAAAAAATAATAAGCTTAAAGGTAAGTTATTAGCTATTAACACTTCAAATCTAATAATTTTATATTTGAAATGATTTGATATGGAAAATGATAAAAAAATATAAAAATAGTATGGTTTAAAATTGAAAAAAAATTGTATATAGGTTTTAAAAAAATACACATATTTTATATTTAACGTATCAATACAAATTGTGATATTATAATTTTTGTATTTTTACACAAATTTAACATAAAATAAATAGGACATTAATACTTGGATTCACTTCTCTATATTTGTTTTTAATTTATTGCTACCTTTTGTCTTGTACATAATGTTTATATACTATCTTAGTTTGAAGTATTTTGATCTAATTTTTTTAAATTTTGTTGTAAATTATTTTAAATATTTTATCAAATTAAAATTTAACAAATATATTTTAAAATTACCTCCACGAATATCAAATATCAAGATCCTATAAAGTTACTATAATTTGGTTTACAGAAGCTTGGTTGTCATTTTTTTTTTCTTTTTCAAATGCAATATTCTTAAGTAATTGATGCTCTAAAATTGGCCAATGCCTTTACACTTAATTTTTCATACATTTTGGCTTCCCCCAACTTAGACTGTAAACACCATTTTTTAAATTATTATTATTTTTTTTCTTTTTTTTTCATTTTCAATTTTTTTCTCTTTTTTCTTTTTTCTTTCTTTCCTTCTTCTTCTTTCTTATCCGATTCAAGTTGACTAAGCATGAGTGCATTAAATGCACTCTCCCTAAAATCCAAAACCACTATCGGCAGTCGCCAACAATAGCCAACGCATGAATATCAGCTTATCACGTCAGTTGAAAGAAATGAGACTCGAATCCCCGAAGATCTAGGATTTGAATCCCAGCAAGCTCTATAAATAGAACTTCAACCTGTAGGAGGGGGCATGGAAGAAAAAACAATCGGAGAGACCCACAAAAAAAAGAGAGTTTTCCAAAATGAAAAAGTGTTTCCAAAATTAAAAAAAAAATTCTTTTTGTAAAAAAACAAAATAAAAACCACACAGTCCTCTCCATAGGGAGGAACCCAGCTTCAGAAAAGCTACCTACAAAAAAAAAAAAGTCAATCAATTTAAAAAAAAAAAAAGAGAAAAGGGAGACCGAAACTTTGAGCCCCGATCTACGTCGATCGGGGCTGTTTTCGGTGAAAAGGATATCGGATCCAAAAAGCACACTTCGAGGAGAACGTTTTGGCATATTTTAGGATTTTTTGGCAACCATCGACGGTGGTCGACACGACGAAAAGTGACCGGCCAACCGATCTAAAGAGAGAGGGTCTAAGTGTAGAGAGAGAAGGGGAGAAAAGAAAATGGAAGAAAAAAAAAATTTTGGGCCTTTTTATAGAAACTGCCAAAGCCAAAACAACGTTGTTTCAATTAATACCCAAAACGACGTCATTTTAGCCTCTGAAGATCCACGCGCCGACCCGTGACCCGACCTGAGGTCCGCGCAACTGACCCAATTACCAGACTCATCTTCAGACCCAGATCGGTTCATCTGAACTGACCCAAGCCAAGCCGAACCGTCCCTAAACCGTTGAAGTGAGCCGTCGATCCGATCGGACCAACGTTGACCGGTCCAGTTCAGGTAAAAAAAATTTTTTTTGAATTTTTTAAAGTTTTTTTATGTATTTATTTTTGTTATTTTAATTATTATTATTAATATTTATGCATGTAAAAATTTTTAAATTTACCAAAATAAACTTTTATTGTTTTATAATATTAATTAATAATATAAAATTGATAAAAAAATAAGAAAAGGAAATTTTATCCGATGATAGGATTTAAAGGTATTCCGAGTAGTGATGCCTATGAAATCTCTAGGTGAGAAGAATTTTCTTAAATACTACCAGTATACTGAAGTATTTATAAAATTTTTTTTTTGTTAACAATAATAAATATTAATTAATAAATTAAGAATAAGTAATATAAACAAGGA